AGATGGATATGTATGGGAGAATTTTTGCCAAAAATAACCCATTTGAATTGATATTTTCTATGTTTCAACACGTTCTCAATTGTATATATGGGGTGCTTACTTTCCTTTTGAACGCATTTAATGAACGATTCTATGGGACCGTTTCACTTTTGCTTGTATAGGCATTGTATCTTCAAGTATTATCGCTAAAAATTTATCCTGGTATTGAGTCATACATGCACCAAAACTATGAAATCAAAATTTTCTCATAGGAGAATATGAAATTACACACATAACTTAATTGAAGTTGATAATTAACTTTAACAAACTCCAGGTTGCAAGTTAATGACAAGCATACAGATGGCAATTCTTTAGCACATCAATTAATTTGTTGGAAGAAATTCCTGGTTCTCCAAATTTAAAACACGTGAACTTAGTTATGTCAAATACATAAACTTATAATAATTAGTGAACTTCTGGTTTGATTTGCTGGTACGAGAAGTGAATTTCTGGTTCTCTAGTAAACTTCGGGTTCACTATACCCAACGATAGTAATACATGTATAAGATTTTAAAAGAATACAAAGATTAAGACAATTTTTTCTTCTGGAATCTGTATTCTTAATGTACAAGTATATGAAAATAATTTTCTGATATTTGAAAATCTTTTCTCAAACACCTTTGACATTCAAGCAAAATTTTATGGCATATTTTCTTTACTCTTTTAGAGGCAATACGAGTTCTCTTCTGGAGACGATAAAAAATGTACTATTTAACTATACCAAACAACTCTCCTTCATAGAAGCAATTACTCTAACAAAACTTATTTCTACTCTACAGGAGTATTTGTTTATTCATTTATTTTCACTCTATCAAAGTATTCTTACTCTGCTGGAGCATGCACAAAATGTTAGAGATATCCGGTAATTGATACTCTACGGGAGATTCATCCAACTTTATGTAGGAATTAAATCACTCATGTTTCCTAATTATAGAGTATCTAAACTAATATGTTTTGCCATAACAAATTCTGCTCTTCAGGAGCTTTGTTTAATTTTACAAAGAAATTCATATAGATGCTCTACAAGAGCATTAAATCAATTTTGATTTAACAAAATAATGATGACATTGCCTGAACTCAAAATCATAAATAATAAAGTATATGATAAAGTATATAATAAAGAAATTACTAATCTAAAATATAAAATAAACTACCACTAGATGTTTTCATTATGAACAGATAACTAATATCACTTTCAGGGTGATCATCAATAAATAGTTCTAATTCTTGATTTGTTCACCTTCAGGGAGAACATATAACTAACATCCATAATAATATCGTTAACGTTTTTGTTAACATATGTAGTTTTCTTGTTCTTGACAGAGAGTAACAAGATGTTTTTTGTAAAGTAGGTATGCAATGATCTTTTATGCTATAACGATAGCACTTTTTATCTTTTACATCTTTGCTCTCTTTAGCTTTCACACTTCTCATGGTTTATTTATTTTCTTTAAAATTTCTCACTTCTGGTGATTAGATATATTTTTGGTATCATTACCAATTCTCAAATATATTTGGGACTTCAATTTGTTCACTATTAAATGTCTGATAATTGCATTTACTTTAGGAAATACATTAGACCAACTTGGACAAGTCTAATAATTTTGAAACGAAAAAAAATAAATTGCTAAATTAGGAGCAATTCCTTAATTTTTTTTGTTACTAATCTTCCACTTCGGGTGAAAAATTATATTTTATATGTGATTATCATATTGTTATATAAGATTTACTATATGCAACTTGACTCGCAAAAGTAATTCTCTTCTTGCTTCAAGAAGTGAGAAATTCTTAAATAAAGGGCTCTCGCGATTTCCCTTAACAAAATTATATTAATAAATTTAACAAAAATAATAAACTGCTACTCCATGAGCAATTCGATATTATACCTATGAATCCAAAAATCTCGTGAATGAAAATTCATCCAATCATTGAGAATGTTTAAAAAAATAGTCAATTTCCTTCATCACTAATTTCCAACTTCTGGTGGTTCATGATGTTCCTATAATTTATCTTGACTGATAGACTCAATCATTATCATTTCCCTTTATTCATATCTACCACTTCAAGTGGTTAGTTTATATGTCTATGATATTTGAACATGTTCAAATCCACTTGCTTCAGGAAGTGGAAAAAATTCCTTTAAATATTTCACGAAATTGCTAATAATGGAGCAAATTCAATACATGAAAAATTTATAATAGAAATGGCTACTATAGGAGCACTTGGTTGTACCCAATATTACAAAACAAGAAAAGCTTACTGCGCTCTCTAATCTATGGATCAAAATCACCTTATCGCATTCCCTGGTCTACAAATTGAATCTTCTCAGTTGGATAGAGAGTCGTGAATCTTCTCAGTTGGATAGAGAGTCGTGCTGATAACGTGTTATAAAATAAGAACTGTAGAGAAAGAACAATAGATGAAGAGAAAAAGTTGAGAGAGAGAAAAAGAGAATTGATCTGTGTATTATTTCTGCAAAGACTGCTCTCCTTTTATAGAGGAGATGGATACTAGGATAAGAATAAATAATAATCTCTAACTATGATAATATCTAACTAAATATTATCTCTGAACGGTTATTTTTTGTATAACTCTTTTGACTTATAGACATTCACATTAAATATTTATAACAGAATTAATGATATTTGGACGAGAAGATTTGATATAGAAATAGGTAAGATAACCTAATTGCTGAATGTTTTTTTTTTCTACGACTATTTTTGTCACTTATTATCACTCACTTTTAAAATGTGTTGGGCTTTTAATTCCTACGGCCCAAATTTGAGCCCATTTTCATAGTCCGAGTTGAGAACGACATATTCGGACCAATAAATTTTTTGTTTTCCTTTTGGTACAAAAAGGAAGCAAATGTTTATTATTTCGGATTGTTGGTAGGAAATACCAACTACTACTATATATATTACTCCATCCATTCCATAATTATTGTCTACTTTGCCCAAAAAATTTTGTCCCAAAATTATTGTCCAATTTGACTTTTTATGGATCAAGTTACACATTTGTCTTTAGTGAAAAACATTATCCATAAAATCTTAGTGGTTAAACAATTACTTATGTAGGGGTATATCCGGTTGTTTAAGGTAAAATATAGTTAAATTTGACTAAAAATAAAATCTTTCATTTTAGTAAAGTTGGACAATAATTATGGGACGGAAGGAGTATATTATATTTATGATTTTAGCATCCATGCGGACAGAATTAAGATAGAATGGGGAAAAAACAAAGGTAATATTCAAATTTATTCTAATTGATAACATTGGCTGGAGCCTGGAAGATATTCCTCGAAGTCGAAACTTGAAAGTCAACCATAAGCACCAAAAGCCCAAAAGTGCATAACAAACGGTCAAGCGACCAAAAAAGCCTGGCGGCAATATTACCCGCCAGAATCCTTATTCGATTCAATTGAGAAATTATGAGACTTTAAAATTTCCCTCCTTTATGAAATCTTACTATATATTAAGGAAATTTCACAAGACACATGTCGGTTAATTAGATCATCTATAATTCTCAAAAACACATGTCGTCTTCTTATTCGATGAGACTTTCATGTAGTCCACATGTCATCTTCTAATTCGTGGACTTTTTTAATTTCATATTTTACCCAAGTAATATGGTTAATTAAAATAATTATTACTTCCTTGAAAGTATAATTTTGACTCCTTTAATTTCCGATACATCAAACTGACTGGAAATTTTTATCCGGTCACATAGATCTCTCTTTCCAATATTATGTCCTCACTGGTTCATTTCCGGCCAACGATGTCCGATACAACAATCTGACCGGGAGATTTTTTCTGGCCACCAAGACTTCCGGCTAACTATATCTTCAAAATCACTGACTCATCTTTCACTTCATTGCCTGAAAAAACATCATAGTTTGACTGTATCTATCGGGCAAACATCAAACTTTGAAATTGAAGGATATGAAATCCAGCTTCTTTTGAGTGACAAATCTTCAGTGATATCAATCTAGCATGAATTCCTGATCTCTACTCGGCGACAAATCTCCAATTTCTGTTGTTATTGCTGCTGCCATAAGATATTTAAAAATTGGAAGTACCAAAACTATTACGTCGACGAGGAAGCCATGGATAACATCTGTTTGATTTTCCCTTCATTAATTACGCATGTAATTAGGGATATGGCTTTCCCTGATATGGGCGTTTTTCCCGGCGTAATTGGTTTTACAATTTCATTGGACCGGATAAGGTATTATTTCAAAATATTAGTTTGAAAATCGGTTTTTATCTTACCCGTATCTCTCTCATTAAAGGATTTGATAAGTTTCAATTTAACTAACTGCTTAATCAGATCCAAATCTTGGAAAACAATTCCATTTAGATGCACCCAATTCGTCCCTTCCCTTTCTAAAAATCTCTGCTTTCAGCAAAATCCATGCGAACCCTTCAAGGATTTCATGTTCGAGACTGGATTCTTTGAGTTCTGTTGGGAACCCGTTTGTGGTTTCTTCAAGACGGGCATCTCAGGTTGTGAAATCAGTGTTTGGAACCCCAGAATAATCGAGCCCAAATGGCGGAATAGAAGTAGCAAAACCAGACAAGAAATTGCAGCTGGCTGTTATTTTTGGTCTATGGTATTGTAAGAACATTGTGTTCAACATTTACAACAAGAAAGTTCTAAACATTTTCCCATTCCCATGGCTTCTTGTATCTTTCAAGCTATTATGTGGCTTGATTTGGATGTTTATTCTCTGGTCTACCAAGCTTCAACCCTGCCCAAAGTTATCTAAATCATTCATCATTGCGCTTCTTGGCCCTGCACTGTTTCACACAATGGGTCACGTTTCAGCATGCATTTCATTATCGAAAGTGGTTGTTTCTTTCACGCATGTTATTAATTTGGCAGAACCTGTGTTTTCTGTGATTTTTTCGTCATTTCTTGGTGATTCATATCCTCTAAATGTTTGGTTGTCAATAGTTCCCATGGTGTTTGGTTGCTCTCTGGCTGCTATAACTGAAGTGTCGTTCAATTTTGGAGGTTTGTGGGGTGCCATGATAAGCGATGTAGGGTTTGTCTTGAGGAACATTTATTCCAAAAAGGGTTTGCAGAATTGGAATGAAGTGGATGGACTGAATTTGTATGGGTGGATCGGTATTATCTCATTCTTATATCTGTTTCCAGTGGCTATCTTTGTTGATGACTCTCAACGGGCCAGATTGCAGGTTATCATAAAGCTATTGAAATCATTGGAAAACCCTATACCTTTTACTTTTGGGTGATTATTTGGATTGTTTTACCATCTTTATAATTAGTCATCTTATCAAGCACTAGATGATATTAGCCCCCTCACATTCTCTGTGGGAAACACAATGAAGAGGGTGGTGGTAATTGTTGCTACAGTGTTGGTTTTCAGAAATCCAGTGAGGCCACTTAATGCTCTTGGTTCTGCCGTTGCGAAGTTTGGGACTTTCCTGTATTCACAAGCTACTGCTAAAAAGCCTAAGAAACAAGCCTAAGAAAGTGCCGGTGATCAGTAGAATTGAAGACAGAGCAGTAGATGGTTGTCTTCAGGTTTTTTCTTCCTCTTTATAGAATAAGTTAGTTATGCTTTTCTTTATTCGAAGAAAAGTTTAGTCAATGACTCCAATTAGGTACAATACCTCTTGTGGTTATTTTCAGTGGCTTTTTCGTTTGTAGTTTTGAGTGTTTAAGCTTGCTTAGAAACATAAAAAAGAAAAAAAGAAAAACTAATTGTTGATATATTCAGTTAATAAATATCAATCGAATTTTGTGGAGGGAGGTAATACCACTGTGATTTCAATTACTACAACCCAAACCAAAATTTTGGAGGTAGTTAATTCCACATATTTTTCTACAATAAATCACCAGAGAAACACAGTATTATAAAATCACGGTGATCTTCTAATTATTAAATTTGTTTGCATGCTTGAAACATGGAACCATTAAGCAGGACGACACAAAGTGACATGATGTTAAAAATGTAAATGAAAATGGAACGAGACCCGCTAATTTTTTTTTTCAACGGATTGTCGAAAATATTAAACTATTAATTTATCGATAAAGATCATCTTTGAACAAATAATTATGCTTATTCTTATGTTTTTTGCTTTTGGGTTCAACCGGGTGCCAAAAATACTAAAATAGCACTCAAAATCATTCTAGATATTTAACCTACCAAAGGCTAAGAACTTTAAGTAGGACGATGCAGAGTGACATACAGATGAAAATGTTGATTGAATGAGACCTTCCATTTTTTTTATTAGTTTAACAGACTGTCAGAAATAAATAGCAAACTTTTATTTTTAGATCCAATTTCAGTAATTATTATTTAATATGTTCTTCTTTTTTATTGCGTGTTTTTATGTCTTCTTAATTAAATTGGATTGAATTTTCTAATGTATTTTTATTCCCACGTGCTATTGGCAACACGTCCATTAACCAAAACCATTGCAGGTTTTTAACTTATTAAAGACTTAGAACCTTTTAAACCTGAATATGCAAAGTGATATAGTATTAAAAGTGAAAGTGAAGATGGATTAAGAGCTGGTTTTTTTTTTTTTTTTGTTTAACGGGGTGCCAAAAATACTAAAATATCAGACAAAACCATTATAATTTTTTAACATACCAAAGACTCGAAACCTTTTAAGTGAGATAATGCAGACTGACCAGTTAATGTGGAGAAAAATGAAGATGGAATGAGACCCGCCAGTTTTTTTTTGTTTTTTTTTTCAACGGGTTTTTATAAATACTAAAATAACAACTAAAACCATTGCAAATTTTTAACCTACCAAAAACATGGAACCACTGAGCAGGACAATACAGAGTGACATGTTAAAAATGTAAATGAAAATGGAATGAGACCCCCGATTTTTTTTGTCAACGGGTTGTCGAGAATACTAAACTATTAATTTATCGGTAAGGATCATCTTTGAACAAATAGTTCTTGCTTATCCTTTTGTTTTTTTTTTTTTTTGGTTTAATAGGGTGCTAAAAATAATAAAATAGCACTCAAAATTGTTCCAACTATTTAACATACCAAAGACTAAGAACCTTTTAAGCAGGATGATGCAGAGTGACATGCTGTTAAAGATGAAAATATAGATCGGATGAGACCTTTTCTTTCTTTTTTTTTTTGGTTCAAATGGCTGTTATAAATACTAAAATAGCAACTAAAACCATTGCATATTTTTAACCTACCAAAAACCTATAACCTTTAAGTAGAGTGACATGATGTTAAAAATGTAAATAAATATGGAATGAGAATCGCCAATTTTTTTTTCAACGGGTTTGTTGGAAATACTAAACTATTAATTTATTGATATGTACGTATCATCTTTGAACAAATAGTTCTTGCTTATTCTTCTGTTTTTTTATTTGGTACAACGGGTGCCAAAAATACTAAAATAGCAGTCAAAATCGTTCCAGGTATTTAACCTACAAAAAACTAAGAACTTTTAAGCAGGACGATGCAGAGTAACATGCTGTTAAAGATGAAAATGTAGATCGAATGAGACCTTCTATATTATTTTAGTTTAACAGACTGTCAGAAATACTTAAATAGCAAAATTTTTTTTTTTTTTCATTTAGTTTTTTTTTATTGGGCTGCCAAATATACTAAAATAGCAAAGTCCTCTTTTAGATTCAATCTCAATAGTACTTTTTAATTGTTATTCTTTTTTATATTTACGTGTTTTTATGTATTCTAGATTAAATTCGATTGAATAGTCTAATTGATTTTTTCTCGATATGTTGCCATTGGTGGCACCTCCATCAGCTAACACCTTTATAGGTATCTAACCTATCAAAAAATTTGGAATCTTTATAGTAGAACGTTATAAAGTGATATACTGTTACATATGAAAATGAAGATGGAATAAGATCTGCAAGTTTTTCTTCTTTTTCTTCTTATTTATTTTTTTTTTACAAACAATAAAAAAATACTTAAATACCAGCCACAATCATTGCAGGTTTTTAACCTACTAAAGAATCAAAACTTTTTAAGAAGGACATTGCAGAGTATCATACTGTTAAAGATGAAAATGATTATGAAATGATTCTTTTTCTTTTTCATTGTTCTTTTTTTGTTTGTTCAACGGACCGCCAAAAAAGACTAAAATACCAGTCAATACCATTGCAAGTTTTTAACCTACTAAAGACTCATACCTTTTCAAATAAGACGATGTAAAATGACATGCTGGATGAAAATAGAGATGGAATGAGACCCGTCGGAAAGTGGCTCTTTCATAATTAGATGACACTCCTGGAAAATATATAATTTCTGATATGTTGCTTTTAGAAGTATTGCTTTTTTCCGATACATTTTTTTGGAAAATGCTGGAAAATGCTTTGAATTTTTGTATATACCCTTAATTTTTTCCGTTTTGTCTTATTTATAAACAAAACTTATATTTCTTATACACCTTCGTTTTTTTCTTATCTGTTGAAACTATATACTCATATTTAACGTAAAAAAATAGAATAATTTAATTCTAATTTGCTCACCGTGCAACGCACGGGTAAAACACTAGTATAATACAAAATATTCGAGAAAGAGTGAGACTTTGATAATGAAATTATGTAAGTATATGGAAATTATTGCATTTATTGATACCTTTCATGGCATGAAAAAAATTTTAGTCAGTAATTACTATTGATTTTGATTTACATAGGGGCTGAATAAATAAGACTATTAGCAAAAATTAAAATTATAACCCCCATTTGGAACTCAATTTATCTAAAAATCCAACTGCGTTAATAGTATATTGTATTATTGTTAACCTTTTTTGTATAGTAAGAACTTTTTATTCTTGATACTTGTCACTGAAAACTTCTGAAATGTGCTGAGACTTTCAAATATCAATTCATAAGTGGAAGGGTAATTTTTGACATTTACTATAAATTCAAAGTCAACCATCGACGGCAAAAGCCCAAAAGTATGAACGAAACGGTCAATGGACCAAAAGAAACATTAGCGGCAATATTTTCCCGCCAAAGCCCTTAAGTGATTCAATTGTGAAATTTTTAGTTTTGCCTCCTTTGTAAAAATATACGAAAGATTCGAGGAAGATTGAGGCTCTGACAATTACTTATACAAGTATATGGAAATTATATTGCATTTAAGGATACCATATATGTAGGAGCTAAATGATAAATAAGGGTGTTTATTTTTCAAAGCTACCACATTTACTACTTGAAACCACATATTTTAAAATTGGACCATTTTATCCTTATAATTTTTTCAAATCAAATAATTTGACTAGAAAGAAAATTAAAAAAAATGAAAATTAAAAAAAAAAATTGACCGACCGGGCGGTCCATCCGTCCCAGGTTAACCGGGGACGTGCAAGGAACGCGCCCTCTTGTTCGCCCGAACTCGTTCATTGCGCGTCCTAGTTTAACCTGGGACGCGCAATGAACGCGTTCGGGCGAACAAGAAGACGCGTTCCTTGCGCGTCCCTTGCGCGTCCCTTGCGTGTCCCCGGTTAACCCGGGACGGGTGGATTGCTCGGCCGATCCCGGTTCGGTCCAATATGGTGAACCGGACCAGTCAGGCCCTTTTTTTAATTTTTTTAATAAAAAATAGCAATATTTGTTATTTAAAAAAGTCTAAAAATTATAAAATATCAATCGGATTCATTGCTATTTTTTTAATTTTTAAATTTTTTGTTATAATTAGTTAATCTAGTTTTCAGGTCATTAAATTTATTAATAATTTATTATTTGAGTTACGTTAAGTATCACCAATCTTTATAGTACAAAAAATAGTTAATCTATTTGCACATATTTGTCACAATCTTTGTAGTACAATTATTATTTTTCATTATAAATGTATAATTATTATTTTAACTAAAAATTATCTTTAAAATAATGATTAAAGCAAAATTTATATTTTAATATCAATTCAAATAAATTAACTTAACAAATAATTTTAAATTTGTTTTTACCTCTGACTTACTCATTCTCTTTCTCTCTCTACTGTATTAAATGACAAGGGCAAAATAGTCAAAAAAAAATTTCATGACTTTGACTACTAAAGTGGGTGACTTCAAAAATCCACCCCCATAAATAAGACCATAAGTAAAAAAAAAAAAATTAAATAAAAAATTACAAACCGCGGGTGCTTCTTATCGGCATTGATACTTGTATAATTTTTTTTTCAAGCTCATGATTTATTTTCCCTTATGTATATATAAAAAATGAATTACTACAAGATTGTGTTATAAAATCTCAATTAAAAAAGAACCAGTTTTTATTAGATGTGAGAATCTCATTAACAGTATTACAGGGTCTTCATACATTCCTACAACAAATTAACCATTACTCTTTGGATTCAATCAACATCATTCCGAAAGAAATCTAAAAAAAAAAAATCATCTGATAAATATTGTAATGCATGAATTTTAGTTCAACAAATTAGATTCTTTCGCTTTTCGCGAAGACGAGAATATCTTTGAAGAAGGGTCATGGCATCGACGTTGAGTAGTGCAGTCGGGTTCTTGGAAAGCGCAGGCACAAACCACTTCCTCAGTGCCGGATTTTGGAGTGCATAATGCGGTCGATTGTCCACACCGGCGCGTGCACGTCGGTGCACATTCAGCCGTAATGTTCGACGCATCGCACCAGACGTCGAAATTGATATGGTAACAAGTTGCACTTTCTGCCACCGGAACTTGAGATATCATCATATCCACTGCTCCCAAGAAAAAAAAAAAAAAAGAGAGATCTCATCAATTTACAATTTACAAAATGATAGACAAAAAAAAAAAAAATGCCCAACAGAGAAAACTTAGTTTGGAAGCATGAATAAAATAATGATTTTATCAATGTTTTGTAACGTTTTTAATAATTCTGAAAACTAAAAATTACTGACTGTTATTACGAGACAGAGGGAGTAAAACGTAAACATAAATTAATATATTAAATAACAAGTTCATGTGCCAGATCGAACACTTTTGCCAATGGTATAATTGAATGAGCTATGACTCTGATGGATTTAATTACCTGAGAAGAGAGTGAGGAGACCTAAGAGGAGAGAAATGCAGTGAGAGAACTTCATTTTGGAGACTATAAATTGTGTGTTTTGTCGAAGTAAATTACAAGCACCTCATGGCCTTTAGCTTTATATAGTGGTTTATTAAGCGTGACAAATTTGGGGGTTGGTGGATTATAAATTATAATGATTTAGTAATAATTAAGAATTATATCTGGTGGAGGGGTTATGGTAATAATATTTTTTGGTATGTAATAAATTAAATGAAATCTTGGCTTTACTACCAATGATTAGGGGTGTTTAGGTGAGAAGATTGTCTTCATATATTTTCTTTTTGCGTTAGTTATCTACACGCTATAATACAGTGAGCCAAAAAAATTTTTTTCCGAAAAAAGAAAAAAGAAAAGAATGAGCCTAATAGGTTTAGATTATGGTCGTAATGCAAGAAATGAGAGCGGACATACAGTGTATCCAAGGAAGGTACACGAGTCCAGTGAGGAAAGTCAACAAAAAAATTTTAAGAGTAAATAAACAATTAGTATTATAAAGTAGACTATAAAACTGTGATCATACAACGATTCTAATACAGTAGACCATGAATATCACTGGTTTAACTCGTAATGTTTTGGAACTAAACGGTATCAATTTGACAAAGATTTCTTTTACAATTCCGTAAACAATTCGAGCTATAATATTGCAATAAAATTTGGGAATTTCCATAAAGAAATTATTATTTCTATACACGTGTTGTAATTTTTTTATTTTTTATTTTTTTGATGCAGCGTATTACATATCTAATCAAGTAAGGGATTTAAATTCTCATCATTTTAGCTATGAATAACATGCTCATCATGTGTTTAGGAGGGCATGAACTTGCTTTCATGCGCTAGCTTGATTGAGTGTATCAAAACTTGCATAATGATAGAAATAATTCTCTGAATAAATACAATCATTTTTTTCTCAAACTTATTATCCAAAAAAAGAGGAGCATATTTTATCCTATGTCCGTTGTGTAAGAACGTAACATTTGATTCAAAAATATAAAAGATTTTTTTTCCCCCACATGCAGTGTAAATTGATGGCTCGGGCCGGATATACCTCAATAGTATACAGATTCAACACCAGAAGCCCAAAGGTAATGTCCTTCGTATATATATATACTAGTGATGTCTGGTCGCGCAATGCGCGACCCTGGCCCAGTCTATCTGTAGATCTTAGAAATGTTTATATTTGAAAAAAAAAATAAAATTTTGTATTTGGAGCGATATATTTTAGATATATTTGAAGGATTTAGAAATATTTTATAAGTGTTACTTATTAAATATAAATAGTCTTAATCGAATATATGTGTTTAAGTAAATGTTAGATAAAATATAAAAGTATCCTAATAAATTTAAATATTAGTAAGATGATTTATTGATGTTCTCCATTGATCGTGCCAAATCAATACTTAGTTTTGGAGATTTTTAATAGCTTTGTAATAAGCTTCATCCGAAAAGTATCCACTTAAAACAAAATTGACACTTTGTAACAAAAAACCTAATTGATCAATTCAATTTAAAAAACCACTCTAGTTGAATGAAACATAAAGAAAAAATTTAAAAAAAAAAAATCACGTAAAGTGCAAAGGGAGATTTAGTAATTTTGTTATGGTTAGACAAAAGGGCAATTTAGTATTTTTTACATGCCACGTGGCAATCATATGAGGTGTTTGAAAGGGAGGTTTTTGTTTCTAATATAGTAGGATATAAAAAGAAAAAGAAAAAAAGTAATGTACAAACGGGTCAATCAACCAAAGTATGTAGCAGCAATATGTCACGCTATGATTTTTGGAGAGAATTCAGAATTTAGAATAGATAGGGAAAGGAGCAGATTTCAGATTAATTAATTTTCACTTGATGATCCGATTGCAACTTTGTTTAGGACTTCATAATCCCTAACAATAAACTAATTACATTTAGTCCCTCTAAAACTTTTAAGTTTCTTTTGACCCCAAGGCCAAGACACATGCAATATCACCAACATAGTATATGAAATATTTGAATGTTCTGAATAACTCCTTTTAACTTAAGCTGATTTACTTTGGGATAAGGGAATGAAGCATAAGATTTAATGGGATAGTAAATGTGTAGACCCTTCAGTTGGATAATCTGCAAAGTATACTTTGGTACCGGCAATTAATAATTTCATAAACTAAAAGCTGATTATATTATTCTAAATTGATCATTTTCTACGTCAATGACATTAAAATTCATTACCGACTTGATATTGGAACATACTCTACATTCGCCAAAAGAAAAAAAAATTCTATTTTATTATACTCCTACTTTTTTAGTTCAATAACATGATTTTATTTTTTTTGGAGATAGAAAAAAATCAGATCCTTAAAAGAAATTTTAATTGGTTGAGAAGTTTAGATATGCTTGGAGCTAGCTAACAGCCTAACATTTGAGTTGCTGGATTTTTTATTTTTTTTATATTTTTTAATTTTTTTATATTTGTAGAATATGTACCATGGGTAACAGTGACATGGGATGGATACCACGGAGTCTAAAAGAGACTGTGGTATGTACCATCAGAGGTAAATTTCAATTATGGGGTCCGGTGACGATGATTTAGACAACTTCCGTGTCACGTATTTGGCAAGCTATGACGGTATTGGAAAAACCGGGAAGGCTCACATTACGAACTCACGTTGGTCATTGAAAAAAAAATAGTTTCATAGTGGATCTTTTTTTTTTCTTTATATGGAGATCTTAAATTGGTTTTGGACTGTGCTTGATGTCCAGAATGATGACTTGAAAATAAAAATGGAAATGCAGATTTGGCTACCATACTTGGAAAAATGTTTTGAATACTAGTCCATTAGGATGATTTTACTGAATTTAGTGAAGAAGAAAAGGCTTTTGGATGGAGATTTTGGTATACCGCTGTAGATGAATGGTTTCATGTTCAGGTTTGTTAATTTTATTACTCGCTCCATCCCTATATAGAAGTTCATAGAATTTCACATTAAAATTAATTGACAATGAAAGTAGTATTCTACATATCTTAAATGTTGATACAAAGTCTCTCACGACACCGATATAAAACAAATATAATTTGGGATTTCGTCACATGCTCTAACTTGATTGATAATATTAAAAGTGGTATCTTGATAGAAATAATAATGTGAATATAATGAACCTATTATCCAAAAAGAGGAGCCATTAATTTACCATATTTTATACTAAGTTGCGTAAAACCGTAGCATTTGATTCAAAAAATGGAAAGGATTTTTCCCCCTACATGCTGTGTAGGGCTGGATATACCTCAAAAGTATACAGATTAAAACACCAGAAAGCCCAAAAGTAATATACAAACGTGTCAATTAACCCTTGTATGTAGCAGGAATACTACCCCTCAAAAAGTAATTTGGCACGTCGGAAAAAAATTACTTTTACAAGCTAAAATAAACTTTCCTATTTCATAATCTTTCAATTTCCAATAGGATTAGGGCAGAAAGATCATACCAATCAATTTTGGAATACTTGAGGCGGCCAACTACGTGAACTAGGGCAACTTCTTATATATGGCAACTTCTATTTGTATATAAGTATACCCACGAAACATATCAACTTCAGTTAATAACATTCTTTCACAAGAATTTAGAGGAAATATTTCGGAGAGATTTCAAGAAGTAAATCACCAGCAGAAAGTAGAAGAGAGACAAGCTTAGAATAATACGGGATGTTCTTACCGGTTGGAAAACGATTTTTACCGACGGACGAAGAGGGTCAACCACTTTCTCCAGAACAAGGTGGCCAATAAAAACTCGCCGGCAATGAACGCCACGATGATCGTGATGGAGTGTCAAATTCACACAAATAAAATAATCTACTTCAAACTACTGTAATATAGGAAAGTAAGATGGTCTCTTCAGGGAACGATGGATTGTTTCTTTCAAATTAATGCAAAGGAGATTTTTGGATTGTTTTTCTAAACTAAAATAATGAAATACAAATAACAAACTCTAAATAAAAGAATAGAAATCAAAGTAACAGACTTCTGATTCAAGGGACGGATAACTCAATTATTTCATTAATCATAGGCTACTAAAACTACTCTTGCAATTTAAGTATTCAACCAAAGATCTATTAGGATAGTCGTAATAAATTAATTAATTTCCCTAAATTAACTAACCAAATCTAGCACTCAATCAGTCCTTATCATAATCTGGCTGGGCACAATAGCGTTCCATGCCAAACAATGATAGCATAAAAACCAAGGAAATATAGTTGAACCAAAACCTAAACAATTGAGATAACTGCAACTATTCAGACTTTGTCTCATTGATTCCACATTTAAACTAACATGCATATTCAATGTCTTATCAATACACATGCTTTGTCTAATTGCTACTCAGGACTGCCGGTTCTTGTCTATTACGTAACATTCAAGTAGCAGATAGCACTAGAAAGTAAATAACAAATCAAGTTGTCAATTTGAATGATATCTACTTTCATAAATTAAGACAAGAATCAACAAATACTTAAATCATAGGCAAAAATAATAAATTAAGAACAAAACCTCATAAGGAAATAATTGGATAAATCTCTTGAATCATAAAAGAAAACTTAGCCACTCATAGTTAGAAGTATGACGGCTTGATTCTCCATGGAAAACAATGAAAATTCGGGAAAAAGAAGAGGTGAGAGGTGCTAGCCTTTGGCCTCTGCACGGCTGTTCTCTGAAATAAAACTAAAAGTATATTTATATGGGAAATTTAGGTCAGCCGCTGGAAAAGAAGAATTAGTCCATGATTTGCATCTTTGGTCCCTCGAGTTTGCAGTATTTTCAATTTTACCCCAAAACTTTTTTAATTTTGTATTTAAGTCTCTGATCGGGCAAAACCATCCAAAACAGCTCCAATCTCTTATTTCCAGCTCCTAACAAGAAGTAATAACAAAACCAATGAATTAAATCCATCCGAATCCATAAACTAATAAAATATCAACAATTAAAACACAATTTATGTACTCTATCAAGTTCCCCCACACTTGAAGTATGCTTGTCCTCAAGCATTAAAGAACACATGAATTCTAAACTTTC